AATATCTTTTGGAAGATATTTCATTGTAGGATAGTTTTGCAGTTAACCTTTTTTGTAGGGGCCATTGTGCAATTAACGAAAGTTATTACAAAATACCTTTTTTGTAGGGGCCATTGTGCAATTAACGAAAGTTATTACAAAATACCTTGTTTTGAGCCAGGATCCTCGTATAGGATTCATTTTCACATTTTGTCAAGTCGTGCACTCTTAGAATTTCCTTCTAGTCATTTTTCTCCAGTTTCTGAACCTAGTTTGCGCCAAACTTGTTCAGGATATATCTCTCTGTTTGGGACTCGATTTTCGACGCCGTTTCTTCCGTTGTTCATGTTTTCTCATTTTGAATCTTTTTTGTTCACGGAGTTTTGCCATTTGAGCGCGTCTGCTCAAATTCCATTTTTCCAGACCCGGCGGGGCCCTTTTAGGGCACTTTTTGAGATTTTCTATAAATTGGGGACTTAAAGAAAAAAAATCAGATTTTTCTCTTCTTCTTCCTTTCTTGGCCGGCAGCCATGGATGCCATTGGAGCTGCCACTTTCTCTCTCCTCCTTTGATCCACTTTTCCTAAGTGAAAAATCTTCGGCCTTAACGTTTATTGTTTCCCTCGTCGTGCTCTACCTTTCCCCCTTATTAGAACCCATTTCTTAAGTTCGGGTTTGAAGTCAAATTGTGATTTTCATGGGGCTTCCTTCGGATTCTTGTTCATCGTGTTGTCCCCGATAAAACCCTTCGGTATCGTCGGATTCGGGGCACTTTTCTTTCAGTGGGGATTTGAGATTTTCATCTCAAATTGAGGTAGGGGGTGTTATAATTTATTTTCCTGTTACATAGCATATTTGTGATGCTTATACAACTCATTTACATGCTTGGATATCAAATCTAGAATTTTTATTTATTTATTTTCTTATATGAGATTTGATTTTTCCGGTGGGTTATAGCATGTTTTAAACTTGTGGTATGGTATTATATTACCCCTTGATATGGTCATTGACATGTATTAAATTGAGGACTTTTGAACATGTATTGAAGATTTTATTTAATATTTATCTTGAGTAAATATTTAATTCATGTGGCCTTAACTAGCTTGAAATCAACATGTGTTAGCATATTTAATTAGAGATGTTTTGAAATCTAGTAATATTTAATTAATTTGATTAATTAATTTATTTCGAGTGTACTATTCACTCCATTGGATTTTTGACTTGATATTCATGATGTGCATGTCATATAGTTTCACATATATTAAATCGAGCATATTTGATTAGGTTTTGAAAATTTTCATTTATTAATTTTCTAGTATTAAAGTTTATTACTCATGGCCGTATCTTGCTTAGAAATCAGTTGTATCATGTTTTTAAATCAAGTCTTGACATGTCGTGTAACATACATTAAATTGAGATCATTTGGATGAATTTCAAAATCTAGAGATTTTAATTAAAATGATTAATTAAAATCCATTCAATGGTTCCATAAGCATGATTAGGTTTCTAACTTGGGATTCATGATTTCCACGACAAGTTCCTTCACATGTATCAATTTAAGAATAACCGGATAAGTTTTGAAACTTATATTTAATTATTTTCTTTGTATGGAATTAAATTCACATGGTCGTGTCTTGTATGAAATGAACTTGTAACTTGATATTGAACTTGCCCTTGACATGATCCTTGACATGCCTTATTCGTAGAACATTAGAACTTGCCTTGTAATCTTGATAATTTAATTCTTTAAGTAGATTAAATCTCCCTTTTATGCTTCCATCGATTTAATCATGACCCCTTGTATCTTGGTTTCATTAATGTACTTCATAGACTTGTACAATTGTCTTGGAATGGTTTAATTACACGTGTTGATTAATAGGTAATTGAATCATATATTTTATACTTGTGGTATATTTATTTCAATGGATTTCTTGTGCTATATACCTTGGTTCTAATCTATATAGATGCACACTGTGAATTCTTGACATTTCACATGCCATCATAGTTGATGAACTTAGGCATGACTTGTGTGTTCCAAAATCTTGGTTGTGTATGAAACGTGGTTAATGCATTTCTTGTATTTTGATACAATCTTGACTTACACAACTTGTTGATTTTGGGACTTGGGATATCAATCAAGAATTGACATGGTTAGGACTTGGTTCTAGTACGGGGGAATGTCCCTCTACAACTATAGTGCGTACTAGGGGAAAGGTACCCATGGGTTAGTAGCTCTAAAGTGATCTCAAGAGTACGGTTTTAATCCGGGCGATATCCGAGTTTCCACTTTGGTTGATTTCACTCTTTAAATTTCAAGTTGCTATTCCTTGAAGATTTAAACCTTGTCGTGTATGTGAAATGCTTCAATCCTGTTTCATTGCATAGATTTTATGCTTCATTCGTGATTTTATTTCTTATATTTCAAGTGTTGTATTCCTTGAAGATTTAAGATTCTTTTCATGTTGTATGGAAGATTCCATCTTTGTTTAATTGTATAGATATTATGCCTTATTCTTGATTCCATGTATAATTCTTGTCGTGTTAATCGGTATATCCCAATCATGTAAATTGCATTGATAATGTGATCCTTGTATTTTAGTATCCTTTTGTCATGTTTCTTGGATTATTCCAAACCTTGCTTAATTGTATTGATAATGCAATTCATGTTAATTAATATTCAAGTATCCTTCTTATCGTGATCTTTGGGTTATTCTAATCTTGATTCGTCTCATATATGTTTATATATCATGATTCTTGTTGTTTATATTCTAAGGTAGCTTAGGATACTTCCTGAGTCTCACCTTCGACATAGACGTTAGGTGATATAACATTTTTGAACTGTTTCATGTTAGTCAAAAAATCTATAAGAAATCGAGTCGATGCATGCTCATTCTCTACGAGTAAACTTGTTTGCTCACCCCGAAGTTACTGGGGATTTGTTCAGGTACAGAATTCAAGACTCGGAGATTTGCACTTGCCTTGGGTGATTTGCAGATATGGAGTTTTCTTTAATGCTTTCTTGTTCACATGCAAGTGTTAGCATGTTTAAGTTTTACCTTTAAAAATGTAATGCTTAGTTAGGTTCAATATGCCATTTTTGCCTAATGACATGTAAAGTGTACTTAGATACACTATTTGGGATGTATTTGATATGTATGACATGAGGCCAAGGGCCACGAGCTTTAAAGTTTAAGCGTATGTATTTAAACCTCAAGTTCTGCCTTTGAAATGTATTTTTATCAATTTTGGAGGTTTGATATGTCAAATTTTGTAAATGAAATATAATGACGCCGTAGGCCATTGTAACATGTTTAAAATGTTATATTACACTTGCGTACATGTTCACACATTCACACATTAACTTATAATGTAATTTGATCATGCCATGGGGGATTCAAATAAGACATAGGGACTTTTCTTCATTTTTGGTGCATAACAGGTTCATATGAACTTTCTCGAGCCATTTCGGTCGACTGAAATGCTAGTTCGGTCGACCGATGCCCTTTTGATTTCAGTTGCACAATAAAAAGTCCAATTCTAGTAGCCTTTTTTCATTTTGAGCCACAAACCGGTCGGCCGATTTGTCATTTTGGTCGACAGAAATGAAGGCTCAATTTTTCTCTTTTTCTTGGTTCATTTCGGCAGACCGAAGCTCTATTTCGGTCGACTGAAATGGAGCTGCCTTGTGAGTCTTGTTTGATTTGTTGCCTAGACAGGTTAACCTTGTTTCATTCGTTCCCATTTGACCTTGTTGATCTTGTTCAAGCCATTTAATGACATACGTGGTCTATTTTGGATTAGATCTCGTTCCTCCAGTTGTCATTGGTGCCATAGGATACCATTTAACCCTTTTATCCTAGTTTCTACTTCCAGTTATTTCCTTGAGTCCCGTGACATCATGAAAGGTCATCTTAGGGTCTTAGAGGTTTGTTATGCCTTGGGAGACCATTGTCCTGTTTCTTGCTTCCGCATCGGGATCCATTAATGGGTCATTCCTCGGTTCATCACTGACCCACCAGGTTGAATAAAAACCCGGGTCGTTACAAATTGTGAGCCCTTACATCTTTCCGATGTGAGACATGTATTACAAATTTACAACTCAAAGCCCAATCTCTTTAAGAATTCGAGACATCTCACAGTCTAAATTCTACAAGGGGAGGACCATCCTCGACTAATTTAGCATTCCAGGTTGTCCGATAAAGTGCCGCAATATCAAAATTTCTCTCGAGCCTTACCTGGTTTTTTACGAATCCATGAAATAAATTCATAGTTTGAACCTAATAAGAAGAGGTACATCTAGAGCAAAAAGTTGAGATAAAGACCTGCCCAACCAGCAATCATAGTTGTATTTCGGCCCTTACCCTTCCACAGATGGTACTAGGGGTGCACAAGGTTCGGATTGGACCGGTTTAAGAATATTTTGAAACCAAACCGTCGTAACAGTTCTATAAAATTGGGACCGAACCACGAAACCAATGGAACCAAACCATACTGTGAGAAAACGTGTTGGTTTGATTCAATTCCGCAGGCTTTTTTAGAATTCCATTTAATATATAAAAATATATTATATTTAAAATATATACTATATATATTATAATTTTCAATTATATTTTATGATATATAGTTGAGTGGGTAAAATGCTAATCTTATTATTCTATTATTTATAAAATACAAAACATATAAACATATATAATTTATAAAACAGTTCGGTTCAGTTCCGTTCAGTCTTGTAGAATCTCAAACCGTAACCAAACCATTTATAAACAATTCTATATTTTTAGAACCGTAACCGAACCGAACCATGAAAAAATCAAACCATACCTACCAATCTGGTTTGATCCGGTTTGATTTATCGGTTCAATCGAGCACCCCTAGATGGTACTGTGGATTAGTAGCAACTTTTTCTTTTTGGAAGCTCAAATAGGTACAGGAAGAATTTCAGACTTAGGAATTTAGATTTTCTCGCTAGGTTTTGATGTTGAATCTGGATGAAACTAGACGCCAGTCTCACTCAGAAATGCATTACCTGCAATAAAATGATATATATATATGTATGTATATAGATCATATTGAAAATCCCATCTGGTGATAAGTACTACATGCTGAGATTCCAACAGAGATTGTTTCAAGCACCCCCAACCCCCCACCCCCTACACACGCCCTCCCCAACAGGCAAGGTTGGTATTCAGCTTCAAAGAGCAGATCACCGTGGATAATTCATATCTGGAGAAAAAATCACAAAAATAAATAAATAAATACAAGAGTAATAAAAATATACATATATATATATATATATGGATAAAACAAAAAGTTCTAACATTGTACCTGATTCCCTCGTTTGTCGTTTGTCATTGAGTGATAAATAATTTACATACATTTTCCAACCACCTACAAAGAAGTATTTGTGGATTGGTCTCCTCATAAATATGTACAACTCATATGATCGGGTCTGATTATATAATCTGACAGAGATAATCCTAATTATCGATCTTCCCGCTGAATTCTATTGGGATCAGACATCATATCCATCAACATTTTCTCAGGTGAATCATCCCAGTTACCAAATGTTTTCAAATCAACCTGCAAAATAATCAACAAAATGGCAACATTACTCGTGATGTAAAACTTGAGGGCACAGAAATTCTTAGTTTAATCTTAATCTTAAGTACGTTACCTTGCGCCTTTGTTCAGTGAAAAGTTCTTCCCTCTTCTTGTATGAATTTTGCACTTCCATGGCTGCTCTCCCTGCTAATCCCCATACTTCCACTTCGACAACCAAAGCTTCAACAGGTAAGAACCCCTGCAATATAGCAACTCGTGTTAATAAGATGCATCCTGAAATAACAAATTGAGTAACATGACATACTACTTCCATGAACCTAATCAATCATCCTTGCAGTTTTTTTTTCAAAAAAATGCCCCAAATTCAATGGTTCAAAAATCAGTACAATGTCATTAGAAAGGGTATTACTTTCATGACTACCAACTCTATGTGAAAGTTGGAACATGTACTCCATTGTATCAATAGATTAGCCTATTAATTGATCAGATTTTCTCAATGAAATGGATCAGATTTTGATCTGAATCTGATAAAATTATCCAGATATGGCTAAAATTATTATCTAATCCGTTTATGACATGGTCAAATATTAGATGACCCAACGGAAGAAGCAGGTGTGATCAAGTGAACCCCATAGAAATAACTACATCACTGAACCTGTGAAACCATGCCGGAGGTGACTGCTTCAGTCCATATAAGGATTTTGAAAGGCGACACACTTTCTCAAGAAAACTCCACCTGAAGCTGAAAACCAGGAGGAGGATCCATATAAATTTCTTCTACCAAATCCCCGTAAAGAAAGGCGTTCTTCACATCTAATTGGTGAAGAGACCAAGAGTACCAAGCCGCTAAGGAAATAAGGCGGCGGACAGTAGTCAGCTTGGCGACCGGAGCAAAAGTGGCATTAAAGTCCTTCCACGGAGTTTGTGTAAAGCCCTTAGCGACCAACCTAACTTTGTAGCGATCAACAGTTTTATATTTGACTGTAAATATCCATTTACAGCCCACAATCCTCTCTACTCGTGGTAAAGTTACAAGCTCCCACGTCTTATTTTTCTGCAAGGCATCCATCTTGGCAGTCATGGCTGCTATCCAATGTCTTGCAAAGCCTCAGATACAGTTCGAGGGATGGAGATAGCCGAGGTGGCAGCAAGGTAGGATGATTAGTCACGCAAGTCCTTTTACCTTTGCGGAGAGTAATAGGCAAATCAGAATCAGAAGTAGGCGATGCAGGATCTACAGCAGACGTAGGCGATGCAGGATCTGGAGTAGAACTGCGAATAACAGGGTTAGGATCTGTACCAGAAGAGGACTGTGGCAAGGTACCATGAGGGGGAGCTCGTGGGCGATGTGTATACGCGAAGCTAGGGCTGAGCCACAGGAGGAGATGTTGAGGATAGAACTGGTGCAAGCCGAGCCAGAGGTGGGAAAGTCACTGATGGAGTAGAAGAAGATGGAACCTGCAAAAATGATGTGCCAAAGAAGGGAACATCTTCGAAAAAAGTGACTTCAAGAGAATGAAATATCCGATGAGTGATAGGGTCATAACAACGGTACCCTTTCGAACTAGTCGAATAACTCGGAAAAATGCAACGAATAGCTTTATCATCAAGCTTCGTACGTGTACGACGTCGGTCCTAAACAAAACATGTTCATCCAAAAACACGAGAAGTAATAGGGAAAAGGGTGTTGTCTGGTCGCAAAATATGAATGGAACCTTACCCCTTAAAGTTCGACTAAGGGTTCGATTAATCCAAAAAGCTGCAGTGAGAACTGCCATATTCCAATAAGATCGAGGAACCTGCATACCACGTAAAAGACACCAAACAACACTCATGAGATGACGGTTTTTACGTTCCGCCACTCCATTCTGTTCTGGTGTATCAGGGCATGTCAACTAATGAAGAATCCCCAATTAATTAAGATGAGGCCGAAAATCATTAGAGATATACTCCCTCCCATTATCTGACCGGATGGTTTTAACGCTAGTATTAAACTGGGTTTTAATCATTTGTAAGAAAGAAAGAAATGTAGACAATACTTCAGAGCGTGATTTAAGTAACAAACCCAAGTACAAAGAGAGTAATCGTCTATAAACGTCACAAAATATTTATGACTAGAGTAAGAAGTAACAGGGGAAGGTCCACACATCAGAATGAATAAGATCAAATAAACAAGGACTACGACGCATGCACGAAATATAAGAGGTGCGTGTGTATTTAGAAAGCTCACACACAATGCACCGAAACTGATGGGTTCTACAAGATTTTGTAACACAAGAAACAAAGATAACAAATGTTAAAAATTAGCATGTCCTAGACGAGCATGCAATAAATCAAGAGTTTGGTTTGTAAAAGAATGTCTTCCATAGTCCGGTAATACAGAAGCATGTGCAAGAATTGGAGATGACCCAAAGATGTCCAGCCCGTCCCTCTCATACCCTCTGCCAAAAATCCTCTTCGTAGCTATGTCCTGAAAAACACAGTGATAAGGAAAGAAAGTCACTGAGCAGGCCAAGGAACGAGTTAAGCGGCTAACAAATAATAAGTTAAGGGAAAGGTTAGGAGTATGAAGAATAGACTTTAAAGATAAATCAGTAGATTAAGGAGTAGTACCCTTACTAATGATCCGTGCAAAAGAATCATCAGCAAGGCGTACTTGCCCGGAGGATGCTTCCATATCCGAAAAATATTGAGACTCACTAGTGATCGGAAGCACCAGAATATATGACCCAAGTTGGAGGAACAATACCAGACTAAGAGGCATCGAATGCAAATGGGGTACCTAAGTGAGCTGCAGTTAATGTAGTTGAAGGGATGGTACCTAAGTGAGCTGCAACAGATGTAGCTGAAGGACAGTTGCATGTGATAAATGATTTCGAATAATAGACCTAATTTATGTATGCAACTGATGCATATCAATACATCCAGACGAAGGAGCAGGTGGCGCATGGGCACCAAAGGACTCTGCAATAACAGCAGTAGAAGAAGTTGTAGTGCTGCTAGATCTATGGTGTGGGTAGAGCTAGAAGCACCGATCCTTAGCATGACCAATTTTTCCATAGTGTGCACAGATGGTAGAACTCCCCTGTCCACGGTTACTGCCACGACCACAGCTGCGAGTACCAGATGGTCTAGAAGAAGCGATTAATGCCATCTAATCAGTGTCAGGTGCAGGAAGTAGCAGGAGCCATCGAAGGTTCGTCGACGATTATCCCCATCAATAATAGCAATAGCCTCGAAAAGAGAGAAAAGATAGAGGGTAAAGGTGTAGTATTTAGAATTTGAGCGTGAAGGGCCTCAAATTCTAGACGGAGTCCCATAAGAAACTGATAAATCCGATGGCGCTCGTGTCTAGCCTTAATAATCCTTGCAGCCTTTGCTAAGATATCCCCAAGGGGCTCATAGTGAGCAAGCTCCTCCCAACGTGACTGAAGGAAGGCAAAGTAATCTACAACTGCCAGCTTGAGATCGGTCTTGGGTAGCTCGTGAGATATCTCGCTGCAACTCATAGATCCGGGCGTCATTACGAGCATGCGCATAAGTCTTAGTGAGAGCAGCCCATAATGTGTGTACAGTTTCATGATACATAAACATATTATAAATACAGTGCTCCATAGAATTGAATAACCACCCAATAATGGTACAATTATCGATGTCCCACCGTGTAAACATGGGTTCAGTAGGTGCTGGTTTTTTAATAGTGCCCAATAAAATATCTAGTTTTACCCCGACTCCCTAAATAAAGTCTCACTGATCTCGACCACGACATAAAATTTTTTCCCATTTAATAAAACTGTAGTAATCCTTTGGGCTTGGGACTATGCCCATAGGATGCGTTATCCTTAAATCTGAACAGATTCCATTTTTCAGATTGTAATGATATAGAATCAATTCGCAAATTCTTACCAAATTGCAGATTGTAAATACTGCTGTCTGTAAGTCACAAGGGCTGGAGAAGTCTTCCAAGTGAGCACCTCTGTCTGCAAGAGTGAAACTCGGCCGGACAATTCGTCAACAGTACATCCCTTGCGGAAGTTGACTGAGTATGTAAAGAGGCTGGACAATTCGTCAATGACCAGAGAGATGCGATGGAGGGAAGAAGAAATACCCCCAATGGGAATTGGTTTGCTTGGGTGTGGTCTAGTTTTTGGTGACTGAAAAATGTAAAGAACACAGAAAGAGAGATCAGTGTGTCGTGTTCTTGGCTCTGATACCAAGTTGAATGTAAAAGGCTCTAGTAAGGCACAAATTCTCATTAGCTATACTCCTAATTTATATTACACACTGAATATTACTACCTCTGTTCCAAAAAGGATTTCACGTTTGGGTTGTGAGTCACGGTTCCCCAAATGCGACATCCTTTCTGGGACAGAGGGAGTACATAAGTGGAAAGTAAATAAAATCACTAATCCTATACCTCTAACAGGCAGATGATGAAAATAATATCATATAAAATCAAATTAAGATCAAGATCAAATCCAATCCCTAAAGATACTCCCAATACAAATCAAATCCCTATATTTTCTCCCAATAGCTTGGTAAGGTATTTCATTGACAATAAATTATTCTTTTATACTGTTAATTCGATTGCATAGACTATAGGATAAGGAGGGTTTAAGTGAGGTGTTTGGAACTAAGAAGGGCTTATACTTTTTTAAGTTTGCAAATGATGGATATCGAGATGGGATTCTGGAAAAGGGGCCACGGCACTTTGTAGATCATCTAATTGTTCTGAAAAAATGGGCTAAGGGCATGTCGCTTCATAAGGATACTGTGGATAAGCTGCTGATTTGGGTGAAGTTTTCAAATGTTCCATTAGAATATTGGAATGAGAGACTGAGTTACATTGCGAGTGCTGTTGGGAGGCCATTACATACTTATGCCATGACTGAGGGTAAGAAAAAGGTTGAGTTATGCACGTATATGTGTGGAAATTGGGTGGAAACAGAGCTAATCAAAGAATTCCAATTGGAATTACCACATGGGGATTTAGTTCCAATTTATGCTGAGTATCAGTGGAATCCTTCAAAGCGCTGGCATTGCAAAAATTTTGTCACTTACTGAGAAATTGTAATGAAGTTCAGAAAGCAGCAGTGGTACAAAGGCGAGATAATGTAGGGAAAGATGCTGCTCAGAAAGGTGGGACTAAAACAAGTGGATTGCTGTGGGGAAGCAAGGTCATCGCTCAGAGCAAAATCAGCAAAATGCCAAAGGTACGGAACCAGTTTGTGTTGATATTGTTGAACGTTTGAATACAAATGAAGATACTGTTAGCTATAAATTGAAAAATGCTGATGATAATGTTGGTGTTCGTACTAAGTGATCCTTGAATAAGGAATATGGTAATGGGGTTAGTGTTGTGCCTATGATGAAATCCCATGATAAATTTCATTGTTTAGCTGATTTGGAGGGTGATATTCAGATGCGATCAGGTGAAATTACTGGGGGTTTGAAGCATGGGTATAATCTGAGGCCTAATACTACTTTGAATTTTTTAGTAGGGGGTATAATGTGTTAAAGTTAGGGGATAAGCATAAACAGAGTACTTCAAAGTTTCAGGCGAAAAGGATATTGTTTGGTAAGTTCTCAGAGGAGGGAGAGACTTCTTTTGCCTGTGTAAATTCTCCATGATTTTTGGCATTTGGAATATTAGAGGATTGAATAGCTTGATTAGGCAAAAAGGGGTGAAAATGGTGATTAGGAATTTGGATATTCCATTGTTCTGTTTGGTTGAAACAAAGGTTAAAGTTGCTAATGTGAACAAGTTGTTAGGTACTATTGTGCCTGGGTGGAAAATCATTCACAATTATCAATTTTCTGATATTTTGGTAGAGTGTGGGTGTTGGGATGATGCTAAATTCAAAGTTAAGCATATTGAGTCCAATACCCAAGTTATTCATTGCCAACACTCTTCTCTTGATGGGGCTTTTCGTGTGTAGGCAGTAACATTTATGGAACCAATAATGCAAATATTAGAAGACAGTTGTGGGGTAATATTGTTTCTAAATCTAACTATTTTAATCAATGGCCCTGGTTTATGGCTGGAGATTTTGATGCTATTAGGTCCAAGCATGAGAAGATTGGAGGATCTGAGAAGTGGTCAGAAAACATGAAAGAGCTTGATTCTTGCATTATGAATGCAGAATTGGTGGATTTAAACTACTCTGGTATTAAATTTTCTTGGAGCAATGGCACATACTTCAGGAAATTAGATAGATGTTTGGTTAATCAGAAATGGCTATCTGCTTTTCAAAATTCAGAGACTACTTTTAATCTTCTGCTCAATGCTTGTATTCTATTGAGGATCCAGAATAGTGTTCCTAAAATCAAGAGACCTTTCAGATTTAATAATTTCTTGGCTAGTTCTTGCCTTTAATTACTAGGATTTGAGGACAATTTGTTAAGGGAACTCCTAAGTTTTCTGTAGTTCAGAGACTAAAATTGATAAAAGAAGGCTTGAATTTCTTGAATTCAACTTATTATGGAGGTTTATCTATTAAAGTGAAGAAAACTAGAAGGAAATTGTTTAATGTTCAAGAGCTGTTAGATACTGATCCTTTAAATCAAGAGATTTTGCAGATTGAGAAGGAATGCTTAAAGGAATATCAGAATGTGGTGTATGCAGAGGAATGTTTGTATAGGCAGCAATCAAGGGTCCAATGGCTCAAGTTGGGGGATCTTATACAAGTTATTTTCATACAGTTGCTAATCAAAGGAGATCCTACAATAAGATCATGTCTATTGTGCAGGATAATGGAGGGTTGATGAACCTGATTTAGTTACGAGGGTTATTGTGTCTTATTATAAGCAGTTGTTCTCAAAATGTCAAAAGAAGCTGAGGTGTTTAATGTTGCTCAGTCTATTAAACATCCAATTTCAGAAGATCAAAGTATTCACATGCATAGACCAGTGACCCTAGAGGAAATAAGATCTACTTTCTTCTCCCTTAAAGATGATAAGGCACCAGGGCCAGATGGTTTAAATGCTGTATTTTTTAAGGCTGCTTGGTCAGTCATTGGGGATGTATCAGTAGAACAATTCCGAAATTTTTCAATACTGGAAAAATGCTTACTGAGGTGAATTCTACTGCAATAACCTTAATTCCAAAGGATCCAAATCTCTAAAGTTGCTGATTATAGGCCTATTTCTGCATGTAACACTTTGTACAAGTGTATAACCAAGTTGATTGCAAATAGAATTAAGTCTGTTTATTTAGGAAAAAAAGAATTGAGCCTGCTTTGAGTGAATGCATCAGTTTGAATCAACCTGCTTTTGTGCCTGTAACAAGTATAACTGATAATGTGTTGCTTGCTCAAGAGATAATGCTGCAATATCATTTAAATAATAATCCTTCTAGGGTTGCAATAAAGATTGATTTAAGGAAGGTTTATGACACTCTCTCATGGCAGTTTATTCATACAGTTTTGAAGGGTTTCAGAATTCCTGATCATATGGTTAGATTATCCTTTCCCTCCATTTACTTCGACTTTGGGAAGGATAACCCTAGAACCCTCCTCCCTACAAATCCTTCCCTTTCCCTTCACCTTGTCAAAACAAATATAAGTTTAAATTTCCCTCCAAATCCTTCCCTTTTTTTCCTCTCGTTTCCATCAATCTAAATGGGCCCTAACAGGTTTGAAGTAAAAGTTTTGGGAGTGGTTGTTTGAAATAAGAGGGGCAGGAATTGGTGGGAATGGCTACCCTAAATCTAACCAGCACCAAGCTCGAAATCATTCCTTACCTAAGTTGGGGGTGGTCAGGGTGGGAGTTCACTTAGGCGGGGATTGATTAGAATAGGGGTGCCCTATTCCTTCGACTTTGGGAAGGATAAGAAAATCACTGAGAACCCTCCTCTCTCCAAATCCTTCCCTTTTTTTTCCTCTCGTTTCCATCAACCTAAATGGGCCCTAACAGGTTTGAAGTAAAAATTTTGGGAGTGATTGTTTGTGATAAGTGGGGCAGGAATTGGTGGGAATGGCTACCCTTCTAACCAGCACCAAGCTCGAAATCATCCCTTACCTAAGTTGGGCCTGGTCAGGGTGGGAGTTCACTTAGGTGGGGATTGATTAGACTAGGGGTGCCCTATTCCTTCGACTTCGGGAAGGATAAGAAAATCACTGCGAACCCTCCTCCCTCCAAATCCTTACCTTTTTTTTGCTCTCATTTCCATCAATCTAAATGGGCCCTAACAGGTTTGAAGTAAAAGTTTTGGAAGTGGTTGTTTGTGATAAGTGGGGAAGGAATTGGTGGGAATGGCTACCCTGAATCTAACAAGTACTAAGCTCGAAATCATCCCTTACCTAAGTTGGGGCGGGTCAGGTGGGAGTTCACTTTGGCGGGGATTGATTAGAATAGGGGTGCCCTATCCATACCCATCATCCGCTCTATGAGTTTATGTTTCAGAAATCAAATCTTCAATTTTTTATTCTTTTTTTTTTCTTCTGAATTTGGATCTTTTGATTTAGTAAATTGTTAATGCTTTTTCTCATTTTTTCTTCTACAACGGTTTTAGTATTCTTTTAAAATTTGAGCTTATTGGAGCATATCCGATTAACAGACTGAATGTTGATGAATAAGATTTTGTCAAAGATGTTGCCATCTGTCCATTTAGCATTTTGGATTACTGTTTTTCCGTAACGCATTGGATCAGGACTACATATGATTCTGTCTTAATCCGATCTATTCACAGACCTTATACCAACAAAAGACATAGAAAAATAACAGATACTGCAATTGATAAAAATAAATAAATACGTAATTTAATTTTAAACTAACATGGATAACTTGTTAAACAAAATGCAAATTCATCGATACTGGTGAAAATATGAAACTAAACCAGAATGTGAATTAAAGAGGGTCAAAGATGATTAATAAAGATAAAATCCACCTATCCTCAACAGTCAGCGCACATGAGAGAGAGAGAGAGAGAGAGAGAGAGAGAGAGATGTGATGTAGAACAGCTCGCTCACGATTATCTGAGCATACAGGATCATCGCAAATCAGGGAGGCTGAAAAGGTAAGGAGAATAGAAGGAAATAAATAAATAAGGAAAAGTGAAAAGAATCATCACAAATCAGGGAGGCTGAAAAGGTAAGGAGAATAGAAGGAAATAAATAAAAAAGGAAAAGTGAAAAGAATCATCACAAATCAGGGA